AACGAGCATGTGTTGTAGCTTGATGCGAAAAACTGTAGAAAGAGGGGAATCGGGGGTGGGGATGGGGGTGGGAGTAGAACAAGATAGGAAGAGTAAGTAACCGTGAGTTGAAAAGGGGGAAAGAAAGAGATGAGGTTGAAAAAGATGGAAAGAAAAAGAGAAAGAGAGAGAGAAAAGATAGTAGAATAAGAACGTGTTGCGAACTAATGCGTTACGATCTCAATGAGAGAAAAAGGTTTGCTGTGGTATGAAATAAAATGAGAAGAAAGGGGAGAGCATAAAGATTAAAAGAGGAAAAAAATTTGGAAGAAAGAAAGAAAGAGAGAGAGTGATAAAGCATGGAAGGGGGAAAGAGAAAAAGATCTATAGATATATATATAGTAAGAGAGAAAGAGAGAGAAAGAGAAAGAAGAATGAAGAGAAATCATCAAAGAGGATCGGAGCTAAATGGCCGTGGAAATAGAAGTGTTTTTTACGAGGTTACCCAGCACTCGAAACTCAGAGTGGACTCGAGCCCTCGCTCGCTTGCATTTCGCTACCCCTCCGGGAGTTTATGATCGCTCATTCGAACCCACCCTGAGCATACTCGCATGTGCGCCAAAACAGTATCCCATTTAACAGAGAAACTCAGGTGAGGGAGCATTCGTGGTAATAAAAATAACGCTCGTCTCTTATCCTTTTCTTTATCCCTTTCTTCTTCTTTATCTACCTTTCTCTCTTTCTCTTTCTCTTTTTCTTTTTCTATCTCTTTCTACGCAGAAAAGAAACAAGGAGGAATAATCAATTTTAAATAGAAACGTGCGTAGTAGATCTCTCCGCGATTACGAAAAAAAAAATCAAATTTTCTATTACGGTTAATCCTATTTCAAAAATTTTCGTTAATTTTTGATAAAAGATACAAGAAAAATAAAGAAAATAAATATATATATATATATATATATATATAGAAAGAGAAAAAAAAAGGGAGTATAAAGGGATGGAAAAGAAATGAGATATCTATCATGTAACTGTAGGAGGATCTTTTATACGAGAGAATATTTTCTGTTTTGTTCAGTAAAATTTTCATGAAATCGAAAGAAAGAAAGAAAGAAATAAAGAAAGAAAGAAAGAAAAAAAGATTGGCGACACGTTAACCGAAAGGTCGCGTTGTTCATTTCCTGCTAATATTCATTCAGTCTCGGCCTGTAGAAGGGGAGAGATAGAAATGCACTTTTATTACGACGCTGCAAAACCACCGGGCCGAGTAGGAGAAACGAATTCAGCGGCTCGCGTTGTCTCTTCTACGTTTATCTCTCTTTCTCTTCAACTCTATTTCTCTCCCAACAGCATTTTTTTTTTTTTTCTTTTTACTATCCTACCTATTCCCCTTTAGCCTGTAACCGTGCACTTTTCTCATCGTAAAATTAGTTCTTTTCCAATGGAAAAGCTTGTTTCTATCAAAGTTTGCCCGACCCTTTTTCCACGTAGATTACTCCAAAGCAGATGTTCCCTCTCTCTCTCTCTCTCTCTCTCTCTCCCTTTATTTTCTTCTCTCCCTTGGTCTCCCTTCAAAGTTATTATAGGATATAACGAATTTGAATTATAATTCGCGTGGTAAATTGCTGAAGAGATGCGGCGGCCACCGCAATACTAAATTGCATGTATATATATATATATATATACATGAAAGACGAGCATTCTTTTTTCCTTCTCTCTCTTTCCCTTCTCTCACTCTCTCTCACTCTCCCTCTATTTCTTCTCGTCAGACACTTGTTCAGAAATGAAGAGAGACGAATCGATGAAAACATCGAAGAAACTCGTCTCTATAATATAAGCATAGCGTGCGTCGAAGAGCCTCGATTTTACGCGCTTTGTGTACGTAAACGAGACAAAGCGGCGCCTTGCTGTGAACTTAACACGTTCCTGATATTCGAGATAATGGGATGCCTGTTCTCTGTGCTATGACACGTATATATAAACACGCATACATAGAGGTATGCACGCAGAGACGCGTATATACGCACACACAAAGATCTCTCTATGTTCCTAGGTATATCTTGAATACATGCATATATATATATATATTGTATATATATATATATATTGTATATATACATGTGGTTCGTAAAAGCACGTAGATTTACCGTTTCCACAGTTAGCTTCAACGAGAATGGTATTTATGCGTGCGCGTTAACAATGTGTGCGTTAAACCGATGGAGAAAGCGAGAGACGTTGCAAAAACGAAGATTTATCTAGATGCCTCTAGCATACCACTGTAGACCGAAGGAAATGACACTTATTAACTTGACTTCTCGAGGCTTTTAGCCATCGACTTCACTGAAATACGAGTGGGTAGAAATCAAATTTGTGAAAAGACAGAGACGAATGGCATAGCTATCCTTCCGCTTCCTATACTTCCTGTCTGTCTGTCTGTCTGTCTGTCTGCCTATTTCTATATCTATCTACTTCTCTGTCTTTCTATGTATCTATCTATCTATCTATTTATCTATCTATCTTTCTTTGTTTCTCACTTTCTCTCGGTTGGTTTAATCCAATACAAGATCTCGTCGAATGTGGTCTGACCAAATAAGAAAAGTGAATTTCTTTCTATTTATTCGTTTATTCATTTATCGTGATAGAATAAAAATGTCTATTTTTGTTCTCTCTATTTTATTACACATGTATACAAAATTATTGATCTTTACCTCGACGTAGATGTGAATTGAATTCTACGTTTCTCGGCCATTAAAAAATATAAAAGAGAGAAGCTTTCCTTTTAATTTAATATTTATTTAATGAATTTGTGTGTGATATTTATACCACATAACGTTGACATTTATTTTATTAAACATTTAATGTTAATTTATATTAGTTCTATATATATATATATATATAGTTTCTCTATCCTTACTGATTACCTTTGTGTGTACAATAAATTTTCTTCTATCTCCTTATCTCTCTCTCTCTATCTTGCGATCTCCCTCGTGTTTCGTGCCATTATCGAGTTTCGAGTCTTCCGAGAGTTTCGGCGAGCTTTCAAAGTGGCGACACTTCGATCTTTCGACAGAGAGAGAGAGAGAGAGAGAGAGAGAGAAAGAGGAAGAGCACTATGTCGGTGTTCTGGCCGAAGCGAACTCTTAAAGCCGCCAATTAAGTCGGAAGGGTGGAAAGTCCGGTTTCCCCTTACGCTATTCTTCGACGCACTGCGGTTTCTTTAGAATGTAGCTGTCGTAACTGGAACGGTGGCTCGACGAACGAGCCACTTTGCTTTCGATCGTGCGAATGAGCTTCCCAACCTTTCGCGAACGGTCAACTTTGACTATTGCTCGCGGTTACTTTACTGGTAATTACCAAAACTGTTTGTTACTTCCCTGACTAAGTTGGTAAGTAAGTGTAAATGTTTACCTCCGTTCGCGTGTGTATTTGTTTGTAAAAGAGAAAGGGAAAGAGAAAGAGAGGGAATAGATAAAAAGATAAATAAATAAGTAAAAGCGATACTAGAGAATGAATTGTTAATAATCTAAAAGCTTATTCTCACTTCTTTTTTTTGTTTAAATTTGCACTAGGATGCAAATAAAATAATTCGTTGATTCTTAAATTGGTGTTAATTTCTCGCACGAGGTTTTTTATACGTGAGAAATAAAAATAAGTTTTGAAAAAATTACTTATGTGTACGAAAAAGAATTAGAAAAAAAATTTAGTAATAGAAGGAAATAAGGAGGATTAGTAATCGAAAAGTTCTTTCTTAGAAATTAATACGAGGATTTGAATATACCTAGGCAAAGTTCTAGCAAAGCATCTTGGAAATTATTCGCAAATTCTGGTCCTCGCGCGTAAATGTCACATAAGAGAAAGAGAAGGATAGAGAGATGAAGAAACAGACAGGTAGGCAGATATACCAAGTGAGACAAAATGAGAAAGAACGTAGGATGTTTGAATTCACGAAGACAAACCGTGACTTATGCAAAAGTGCGCTGCCGTCTCTGAAAATGTGATACGACGAGTGGTATCTGCATAAGCAGATATGATAACGCTAGCGAGTGGTACGCGAGTATCTCGGAACTTTCTTGTATCGTATAAGTGTAATTATACACTTACATAGTTATATATAATATATAAATGTAAGATAGGTAATTGTATTAAAGAAATTCTTGACAAGTTAGAAAAATGTTAATTAAATAGATCAAATATTAATGAGAAAACAAGAGAGAAACATTTTTTTGCAATGAACAAAATGAAAGAAAAAAAAACAAATAAAAAAAAATAAAATAAATAAAATAGGAAAGAGATTCAACGTCTCATTGATAATAATAGGAACATCGTATTTACCTTAAATCCTGGCCAAAACGTCTAGTCTTCTTCGTCCAGGAAACGAGGCGCTATTCAAAGCGAGTACAAAACGTTGGAACGTTCGGTGAGAATAAGACTGGAGGAAAAGGGGAAACGCGGAAACTAATTTGTCTATCCGAGTACAATTGAGAAAAGGACGGTAGGAAAGGTCCGCCGTTATGTGGCACGGTTGAGTGTGCATTACGTCGAGACTGAGAAGGAGATGGAAATAGATGGAGGGATGAGGATGAGATAGAGAAAAAGATAAAGGGAAAATGAATGAATGAGAGAGAAAGAGATATAGAAAGCCATTCACGAGTCCTTCCGACGTTACTACCACGATCATCATAATCCACCCCTCGACGTTGTTTTCGTACGGGTTCACGACAGATTCCCGAGCGACCTTGGTGGATTAAAGATCTCATTCTCTTCCATTTCTTCATCTCTCTTTATCTCTTTCCTTCCCTTTAAGATCCAACGAACTCTATACTATATCTCTTCTTACATTATTGAATATAAAATGGTAAAAAAAACAACCTACTTAAATGGATTTTCCGGCATATCGACTAAATTTCATTTCACAAATCGTCGGACAACATTTAACTATAGAAATTCTTACTTTTTCAATTATCAAATGAGATTACGAATGAGATCATTCAAGGATTAACTATTAATCTATGATATTTGCTAACCTGTCCGTGGTGCACCCAGGATACTGGAGTGGAGCAGCAGGAAGCACGTCAGCACCAATGGCCGTTTCATCTTCGATCTAAAAAGAGAAGACACAAATTGTTCCTTACAAATAATTCGTGGTAAATATTCATTTAAACATGAATTTATATGCATACGATTAACAAGAAGACGGTCAGTGAGACCCAACCTAAGATTTTTTCTTCAAATTTTGCACATTTGAAAACGTATATTATATATGCCGATGGGAATATATTTCGTCGATCTTTCTTTCCGATTAGCTATGAAAGTCGATGGTTATTGATGGATCATTCTTAAGATATATATCTCTAGTTCATCGAGATTGATCGTTCCTTCTTTACGAGTCAATCGAAATTCACCGTCAAAGTCCATTACGGAGTTTCGCGTAAGATCGTAAGATTGAATAAAATATTCTATACAAAGTTTAAGTGAAACTCCATCTTTATGGTGAGACTAATCGTTACACCTTTTCGTAATATCGTTAAAATATCGAATTTTCTTTAAACAAATAAACCATTTTTCTCGATATAATAATCCCCCATTTAATGAACTCGTTCAACATTGTCCCATCGATCCAAATTTCATACTTAACAAAAGGATCATAATCGGCGAACGTTTGGCTCGTAAACATAAAATTTAATGGATGAAGGGAACACCCAGAGAGTGAGAGGACGATAAAAAGGGGAAAAAGAATGAAAAAATAAGCTAAACGAAAGAAAGTGAGAGAGAGAGAGAGAGAGAGAGAGAGAGAGGACAAGAGATAGCGAGACAGTGAGTAAGAAAGAGAATGGGTGAGTGAGAGAGACAGCTAATGGAGAAGAATGGTGTGGAGCAATGTGGTAGAGGAACGTAAATCTAAAAGGAGCAAAGAGAAGATAGAGGAGGAGGAAGAAGAGGAGGAGGAGGAGGAGGAGGAGGATAACACGCATCGACGCGGCCATCTCTAGCGTTAGAAACCATCGGAATCGTGTACCATCTTTCTCCCTCTCCGCCTCTCTAACTCTCTTCCTCTCTGTGGTTCCCCAGGAATATAACCGTTCCTGTGCGCCAGCGTGTGAAAGTATGGTAGCGAGAGAACAGTGTAGAAGAATGTATGTGTATACTATACAGAAGGATAGAGTGAGATAGTTGTATAGTTCTCGGTTCCGTGTCAGCGTGCGTGGAATGTAATACGGTGGCTGGTAGCGTCACATGGGCTATTTAGAAGGAACTATCATGACGTCGAGAGAGGGTGAAAGAGAAAGAGAGAGAGAGAGAGAGAGAGAGAGAGAGAGAGAAAGAAAGAAAATAAGAGGGTTGTGAAAGAACCGGTGCAACATCTTCTGATGTAAGAGAAGAGGACGACTAGATGCCGAAGGCAACGATGTGTTTCTCCTTCTTCCAAGGCAGATCCTTTTCCAACTTCTTCGTTTCTCTTTTCTTTCATTTTCTTTTTCCATTTTTTTCTTCTCTTTCTTTTTTTCTCCCTTTATATCTCCCTATTTTTGTTCTCTTTCCTTCATCTTATTCTTCATCGTCATATTCTTCCTCCTTCTTATCCATCTCTTCTTCTTCTTCTTCTACTTCTTCTTCTTTGCGTAGCATCGTCTACGGTCTATACGAAGGAGTTTTTTTTTTTCCMCCCCCCCCCCCCCCGTTAGCCCCTTCCCACCCTTTTCTACCTCTGTGCTCTTCTCTTTTTTTCCTCATTCACGAAGGATGAAGGGGAGTGAAATGTTGCAGATACAGCTAGCTAGCTAGCTAGCTCGAGAATAGGAGAGTAGCTTCCAGAAGAAGAGAAGAAAGTATTCGCTCGGCCGGTTAGCAAGCCTTATACTTCTACTTCTACTTCTACTTCCTCTTCCTCTTCCTCTTCCTCATCCTCTTTCGCCTTCATATCCCCCTATTTCCCCATCTCCTCTATTTCTTTCCTTTCTTCGTGGTTGCGAAAAACCAGACCATTGACACCGGATGCTCGGCCCGGCCATTGTTACCGCGACGGGCTAATAAAGAAAAATAAAGGCTCCTTCGTGGATATTAGCTCGGTTCTCTCACGCTCTTAGGATGCCAGGCCTGGCATCAAGAAAAGCCCCTCGAGCAAAAGGAAGATGGATAGTGAAAAAGAAAAAGAGAAAGAGAAAGAGAGAGAGAATAAGGGAAAAATGCAGCAGACATTCAGCTTCACAGCTTCCTCGATGCTTTTTTAAACGGCACGCGTATTCTAAAAAAATACATGTAGAACACTGCCTTTTCAACATTTTTTTTGTTTAAACTACGAATCGAATGTAAAGGTATATATTTATATGTAAACACAATCTTGAAATTTGATCATTAATTTAAAAACAATGAAATATTCAAACTTGAATGAATTGTAGGAAAACAACTGATGGATGTATGGTTTAAAGTATTTAATAGCCATTTAGCTAAACGACTTTCTTATTGTTAGTGTATTCCAATAACACAAGCAGAGAGAACGATTCATTAATTAATAATTAACTTTAAAGTTTCCTATCTTAAATATCACACGTGTTTCAAAAACACATACAGATCGATGTTTTCCTTTGTATGGTTTTTCAAGTTTCAATATTGAATATAAAAATATAAATAAGAAAGAATTGTAATAATAAGGAACGATCATTTAAAAATTTGATTGTTAATTTGGAAACGATAGAATACTAATACCGATAATGCTTGAATGGATTGTAGCATAGCAACTGATAGATGTTTGGATTAACGTAGTAATCCTTCAATCCTTCGAGCAACGATACTAAGGAGTATGACAATAGTCCGTACCACGTAGTACTGTTTGACGATCAGGATACATCAAAAGCGAAATAGCCTTGTTGGCATATACAGTTAATGATACAACGAACATTCGCGAACGCGTATGCGTACGTCCGTAAGGGAGATGTGGACACGGGATCATTGTACGTGCACGGTGCTTAATGTCTCGAGAGACAGAACCGATCCTGCGGACAATGGCGCGTGGAAACGCGTACGGGTGCTTTGGACAGTACTCCCTCCGTCTCCTGAGCGAAGTGTACGAGCTTATGGGGAAGCTTACATAGATATAAACCTAGAATCGTTAAATGGGAGGGACAATAACGAAGACAGAGAGAAAGTGAGAGAAAGAGGGAGAGATAAACCGAAGGAAAATAATTTCTGTTCGATTTAGCCGTGAACATGGGACGGGTCATTACATGCATATAAACTTAAATCTTTAAATGAAAGGAAAAGAGAAAGAGATAGAGAGAGAGAGAGAGAGAGAGAGAGAGAGAGAGAGAGAGAGAGAGAGAGAAACGTAGAAGGATATAATTTTTGTTCGATTAATTCGTGAACATGGAATGAGTAAAGACAGCGAATAAACGGAAATTGAATGATAATACAACGAAGAGATGAAAAATATTGCGATGATAATAAAAAACAAAATTGGAATAAATCAAGATAGAAACTTTGAGGATTTTTTTCGAATTTTTATCTATTTACATTCCAATATCGCGGAACACGATAACAACGTCATCGAAAAAACGATCGTATTAGCAATTTTAAAAAGAACTAACTATATCGTAGAAATTAATGAATGTATTTGCGTCGCGTCGGTGAATGCCCTATGCTACTATCTGGTAATCTAATAAAGTGTGTTGTTTAGAGATGATTTTCGTAGCGGGCGGTTTAACTAACGTTAATTCTCGCTAATACCGTTTTAACGAATAAATGCCGTTTGTTATCTCTTTCTCTCTACGTAGATAGGAGAACGTCAGTAACCACCCACACTACCAACATTACCACCACTACCACTACCACTACCACTACCACTACCTACTCCTGTTTTCGATGAAAGTGGCCGCAGAGGAGAGTACTTTGGAGTGCAAAGAGGGATTTTAATTTGTAGATAATTACCGAGTGAGCTCTCGCTTTCAAACGAATCGTTCCATCCACGAATGTAGCGAGTGGTGGATTAAAAAGGGTAAGGAGGACGGGAGGGGTTAGGGGCCGAGGGTGGAAATAATGATCAAAAATAATATCCCAAAGATACTTGCGAACGGCTAGGGAGATTTAATAGTAATCGATGTATTGAACGTTCGTTCCCTCCCTCACCATCCCTGACAAATCATACAAATTTAGACGATTTAGTTACGAGCCAATGAACGACCGAACGAGTAATGACGATCGTTTAATTGCGTTTTAAAGCAAGAGGGAAAGAAGAGGAAATGAAAAGAGAAAAAGGAAACATATACAAATGTGGGATGCAGAAACTCGGCAAATTGACACGATACGGCATGCAGATTAGTATACCGTAATTATTTGGACGATATGTATTTGTAGATATCTTACACGTGTATTAATTTGACTGGTATTAGAGTCAATCGATAGATTTTGTTTACGTCAAATAAATATTTTCTCTCATTTTTATTATTAAGTTTTTCTTAAAAGAAAATGAACCAAAATATATTCCAACATAATTCTTATAAAGAAATTAATTCGAATTAATGCTGTAAAAATGAGCAAACTAAAATAGATATCAACTTTATGCGATCTCATTTATTTACGAATATTCTAAAATATGTGAAATAAATAAGAGAGACAGAGAATGTGGCCATTGATCGCGAATTAATCGATTTCCATTGTATTTATTGTTATCATCGATACCGATGTCGGCCGATACTAGATCTCATTAACGATCGAAAAACTCGAGACAGAACGTGTTCATTAATTTTAATGGCACGTTGGTATAATGATTCCGGGCGTACGTATAGCCACACCTGATTTACACGCATGTAAATTTGGTAAATGCACCGATTACGCGAATACATCCGTCGATCTTGATTCTTTTCCATCTCCCTCTCAATCACCCTCCTACTCCTCCTCATCCTCTCCCATCCGTTCGTTGGTTCTCTACGATCAATTCACTTTACGATTTAGTATGATACGTGTATAACATTCCGATCTTGCATTTATATTTGAACAAATATAGAGAATTATGAATATTACAAATCTTGAAGATATTTAAATACGTTAATATACATATATAAATATAAAATGAATCGAAGAGATCGAAAAGATCGAGATGGATTAAGA